CTGCAAGTCACATGAAATATCTGTGGGTGTGCATTAAAATTTATGAATTGGAGTTCATGGATACATTTGCTAAGTAACAGTCATTCCCCAAGGAATGACTGTTTGCTTCCAGGGAATGAACAACCTGAGAGGATCACAGCTACCATCTGTGCAAAAAAAAAAGGCTTTGGTAGCTAACATCCCTGCAGTGCTAGCATAACCCCCTGTGCTAATACAACAGCGGCCTTCACATCTTCACAGGCTGCTGGTATTTAATGCACCTGTTAAGCTAAGGAATGTTAATGGACTCTGTATCCCACACTACGTTGATTTCTGATTCATCAACAGCAACAATATCCTGGATAAGCAAAGGGTTGAGCAGAGATGCAACAGTTAAAGTAGTAAACAGAATCATCTTTTTAGAACATACCATTGTTCTTAATTAGGAACATTCTCATAGTGGTACAAATATTAAAAAAAAAAGACAAAAAAAGAGCTAGCAACACCAATAATAATAATTTGCCTTCAAACCTTTTAGTTATTGGAGACAGTTTTTGGAAATTAAGATCTTTAATTGTGCTCTGACGTAAATTTATATTCAGAAGTGAGAAGGAACAACAGATTTCTGCAAGTTAGCAGTAAAATTCCATCTCAGCTAACAGATGTTCCTTTAACAAAGCTCAACTGATATCCTTAGGTAAACATCTAATAGGTCTGATTTTTTTGTTGTTCTTGATTCACATTCCCAAGCACATGATGTAACTAAAGTGGGATAACATCCATAACAGAAACTTCACAGATACTGGACTCATGAAGACTGCACAGGACAGTGAACATCACACTGAACAGCTGAAGCTGCTGAGCACACAGAAGTTGAGCGCAGAGTAAGTTTTTGAAAACCAGACTATGTTCAAAAAATGTACAGAGATAGTAGCTTTGCACAGAAAAAAACAAAACAGAACAAAAAAACTCCTCTCCTGATATAAAAGGAAAACTCTGCTCAAAAGCAGGCAATTCCCTCCTTGCACAGAAAGCAACACTGAGCATTAAAGTTACCCCCAGGGCTTTTACCTGAAAGTCTCATCAAAACCACATACTTTACAGAATTGAACAGGTCAAGGGCTTCACTCAAGCTCAAGGGTCTTAAGCTTTCCAAGCTTAAGGTCAGAGCTGCTGTTTTACCAGCACCAGGTGAGCAAAGCCTAACCCCTCAACCACTTTTCTTTGTCCCCAAACCATAAACCAGGCAAGTGATTTAATGCAGTATCAATGAAGGGGGTGGTGGGTTGGTTTTAATTCCTGTCAGCTCTTGGGCCTGGCTCTTCACAAGCGGAGGGTGGGCGCTGGGCAGGGCCGGGTGCAGCCGGGATGAGCTGTGGGCCGGGGCACCAGCGGACACGGGACAACGCTGAACACCGGCTCCTCTCGCACGTGCATCGCTCACAGCACGACACGGGCTCCGGACTCACCCAGAAATTGGTCCATCTTCCTGCTTGCCAGTAGTGTCATCTACGGGAGCAATAACGAGAACAAGAAAGTTATTAAGAGTGAAACGGGCCAAATTGTGAGCTCGGGGACACCTACACGTGACCGCACACTGTCACCTCAAGGCTCAATCTTCCCCAAACCTCAACAAGGAGGCGAAGGAAAGCGAAGGAGCGGTCAGGTCTACCCGCCTGTGACAAGGGAGCTCCCGGCACGACCGCGGGGCTATTGTTAAAGGGACAATAGAGACCCGCCCCGCCCGGTCCGCCCGGGGCGGCACGTACCCCCGTAGAGCCAGTGCTCCTCGTCCTCCTCCGCCTCGAGCGGCGCCGCGCCCGCCGCCGCGCCCGCCGCGCCCGCCGCCTCCAGCTCGGTGGCCATGGCGGCCGCGGCGCGGGAGGAGCGGCCTCCGCCGCGGCCCCGCTAGGCTGCCGGCGCGGCCGGGGCCGAGGCGCATCCGCTGCGCCGGGCACGGGGCGGGCCGGGCCTCGCTAAGGCGCCGCCATCGCTCTCCGCTCGGCTCCTCCCCGGCCGGGGAGCGCAGGTCGAGGCCGCCGCCGCGCCGCCCGCTCCGCCGCCACAAAGGGCGCCGCGCGCCGGGCCCTCGGCGGCGGCCGCTGCGCAGGAGCGGCCCGCGCGGCGCGCATGCGCGGCGCATGCGCCGGCGGCAGGGCGCGGGAAAAGCGCGCTGAGGGAGGGGCGGGGCTGCGGCGCCGCGGCCCGCGCCGCAGGAAAGCGCGAGCGGAGCGGGACGGGAGCGGCCCAAACCGCTCCCAGAATTCCCGCTTTAGACGTAGCCTCTACTGCCTAGTGGCTGCGGAGTGATGGGCCCTGCTAGCTTCTACGGTAGAAGAAATTGAGATGTATACACACACACACGCACACACACACACACACATATCTAATATATATATATATGCACCAGGATGGTATCATACTTTCTGAAACTGCTGCCTTCTATGAGAAGCAGGATCCAGCCCTTGATCCCCTTCCCCCTCATTTTTTTTTCCTTTTGAAAGAAACTTAACATGTAACTTAGCCGATTAACATCTTGTAAACCACTGATTAACTTGATGACTCAGTGCATCATTCCTACGTTTGGCCTCCTAAGTAAGAAACAATTTCTAAATTATATATTAGCGGTTACATTTTGAGTTACATCGAGCTTGCTCAAGTTAGGCTCCCTCTGAGGTCTAGCTACAACAGAACTAGCAAAATAACCTCTGCTTTTCCCAGGCTCTTAAGGAAACACCATGGTAGCTCCAGATCCCACAGGAGCCCTGCAGCAAGACCCCCCAGTGAAAAATCCTTACACGAGATGGTCCATAGCATTCATTTCAGAGTTTTCTTTTTGGGAAAGGCCAGCCCAAACCAGCCCATCCCCTCTCCAAGCCCCAATGCAAGCAGCCAGCGTGGGCCCAGCAGAAACCCAGCACCGTGTCTGGTTTAAGGAAAACTCACCACTCTCCCATTGCGCTCGGCGGAGCAGCACGCAGGCACAGGAAGCGACGCAGAGGGGCTGGCTTCCATAAACACAGCGCACTATTTAAAGGTTTTCATCTTTAAATTTAATTAAAGAAAAATGCTTCAGAGTGATTAAGCATGTCTGACTTCCAGCTTCTCTTAATGGCACAAGTCAGTGCAGTAAGTTGTAGGTATAGAGCTCAGTTAGAATTTTATTATAAAAAACAACAAAACGACAACAAAAAATTTTCAAGGTGTGAGGTCCTACTAAAAAGTCTGTTCACTTGTAAACAGAATAAAAACAAAGAGCGCAATTAAAAAAGAATTTTCATACAACTTAAAATGAAACCACTTTTCTTAAGCAATACAAGTTAAAACTTTATGAGTACACCAAAAACAGAAAACAAATAAAAAATGCAGAGGAATCACATATTGTTTAGTGAAATGATAAACTATTTACATTGAATATTAATAGCTTGACATTTTTATTGCTCCGATGGTAGTGTGTTTACAAGTAATGTAGTAAAATACCTTAGTGGGACACAAATACGCATATATTTATGTTTTTGCATATGGAGTTTTGTACCTGTCAAGAAAAGCATAGGAACGTTTGTGTTTTTCAAGACTACATTAGATTTAGCAAAAATGGTTTTTACTCATCCATATACAATCAAATCCACAGTTTCTAGATATGTCTGTATGTGTCTTAAAACATATATATTTTTCCTCCTACTGTCAAACAATTTCACAGATGCAAGTGGAAAAAATCCAGTAGGTCAGAGCTTTGCTACTTCACTTTTTTGATACTTTAATACTTCTTAAGATACAAAAACACCCTAGATACAAAACCAAGTATTTCCTAGATAAAAACTAGAAAAGAAAGTAATTGGCAACATGTTTATGTGAAAAATCAAACACTGATTAGGTAGACAGTATTTCCATATTTGCTTTTAAAAAATGATTGTTGCAAACTCACACTAAATACTGATACTAGTTCCCTTTTCTCTTCACTCTTTGCCCAGTATTTTCTCTTTTGCTAGAACCAGTCAAGGCACTTTCTTTACCATAACTACTATGCTTTGCTAACATTAGTCTGTTATATTGCTATGAGTTCTCTTTCCAATTAACAAGCATCTTTCATAAGTGGTTTTACTAATTCATGATGACTTCTTACTTCTAAAATGATTTTTTTTTTTTTAGTTTTCCAAAATATAATAATTTGCTGAAAGATCTTGTAATAAAGCCAAGGACAGCCCAGGCAAGAGAGAACCTGTAGGCAGAACACAGTGCACAGAGTTTGCAGCAGTACTTGCAGCTGTCTGCATCTTTTAAGTGAACTACGGAACCCGCGACTCTCAATTGCAAATAGTATTGCATGCTGGTTGTGCATTTTTATTTTAAATCTACTTACTAAAATATGGATTTTTGCTAAAAATTGCTGTTTTGGCTCATATACTCTTTATGAGTTGGTTTATGGCCACAAGTCTAGATGCCTATTAAAACACCAAGAGAAGAGACCCTTTCATGTGTTGAAGATTATATAGTTCATAATTGAACATAAAGTAACATTTACAGAATTTATGCGCTTAAATGTAAACTTTTAAAATTCATATGCTATGAGATGTACTGCTCAAATGGAAAAGCTTACAATATTTTCCTCAGGCTGGCACAGAATTTCACAGAAACAAAACAAATCAGATGGAGAGATTTTGAATACGATGAAGTCAGCAGACTCTGAAGAGAATCTCTGTCAGCAGTGAGAGCAATGAAGTGTTTGGTATTCAACCCTGGTAATTAATAGAGCTCTCATCGGCCTTGCCTGGTCTTTCAGCTTGAGAGGAATATTTTGAAAATGTAGTCACATAAAAGAACAAAAAATAAGGTCTTGCTGATATTTTTTGACTTTCTTGCACAAAAAGAAAATGATTAACAACAGAGCTTTGGTGCAACAGTAGGAAACTTCCATCAATCTAAGGTAGCAAATATAATTATGCTAAGATCCTTTCACTTGCTGACTAAGAACTTGTATAGGAAATACACATTGAATTGGATCAGCTATTTCTGTTTTGGTTTACACTGTGCTTTTTCTACTATAAAGCATCTTTTCTGCTTCCAGTTGGTTAACAATCTTCCCAAAAGATAAAAAAGAGTGGATGAAATAGTCTAGATGGTTCTGATGGAAGTCTGAGTTGCAGGCTGTAGCTAGCATTAAATCTAAATTTTTTTTTTTCCAATTATGTTTTGAATGCAACTGAACACTAGCTGTTACTCTACTAGTGTGGAATAAATCTTTTGCACTAAGCATACAGATTTCAGAGTCTGAAACATCAGTTGGATTAGAAACTAGTGCAAGCTCTGGAGTCTGACATTCCTCAGCTGTCTTGTTCTCACTCTATAATTGTAGAGTAATTCAGAACAGCTTGAATAAAACTGGTCTTCCCTAAACACTTGCACTAGAAATCTTGGTTTGCACAGCTATTGGAAGGCTAGACATTTACAAACACTTTGTTTTAATACAATATTGCATACTAAAAACGTGTAAGCACACGCAGGGGAAATCCTAAATCAGCATAAAACTGAAAAAAAAAAATCAGCTGGTGTCAAAGAGTTTGGTTGCTGCAAAGAAACTCCTGGACATTTACAATGATATTCATCACAACTTATAGACACAAAGTCAGGTGTTGTTTTCTTTTGCTTCTTATTTCTAATTAGAAAAGGAAGGGATCTTGCATTATTTTTTATCACTTACTATTACCAACTGCTTATGTCAGATGTTCAGAAAAATCTTTCTACAATTATTTCCCTTTCCAAGATAAGGCAAACATCGAAAAGTCCAAAACTACTTGTGAATTCCAAGCCATTTCTGGCTATGCAGACAGTGCTTGAATGCCACTCACCAAAACATGCATGAATACATCCAACTGATTCATCCAACTTCCTCCCATCAGCACATTCTGGAATGCTACTCTGATTTACGTAAAATTTATCTACACTAGAAAGGATTCACTACTACTTAGGTCCATTTCTCCCTTAATAATGAAGGTAATCCAATTATGGAACATTTGTCCTTAAAAAAAATCCATACTAACATTCATACAAGCATAGTTTAAAAAGAAGTTTTGGGATATTTTGATAATAGCAGCTGCTGTCTACATCACAAATGTGATTTTTTCAAAGATGAACAGTATTTAAGGTTCTTATTTCAGGTACTATAAATGATACCTGAAATTAAAAGAAGAAAAAAAAACAGAAATGTTATGCAACTTCTGTTCATTTACTAAAAAAAGTGCAACTGAGCCCTACACATCTGATTGCATGTACAAACTCATTATGGCTTTACCATAAAACCAGCATGTGAATGGGTCTATACAATCAGAGGGATGCTAACAAATGTAATGAATAAAACTATGTAGAATTATTGGCAATGGAATAACACGAGCTATATTACATTCTGTAAACCTTGGCATACCACACTTTACCTTATGCAAAGGGTCAATATTTACAAATCCATAGCGGGCAAAATAATTACCCCCTTAATGTAAATGATGATATTGCAAAGTGCAGGACAAAACCAGTGCTGTCAACTGCAAGTCCTATGCAAGCAAGTTATACTAAAATCATTACTATTAGAAGCTTACCTGGATGTTTCTACTGAGGATTTACAGGAATGCGACATTTAGAATGAAATACAGTATGAAATGGCATTAGGATATATGTTTAAGGACAGCAAATATAGAAATTAATAAGGCAGCATGCTCAGAACAAGTTTAAGCAGCACTGATGTTAGGTCCCTAGTGGCAACTATATCAGTTATTGTTAATGTTAAAATTCAGAGTGCAACATAGAAGCTTCATTTAACATAAAAAAAATGTGCAAATTGTTCTCTTCTTAAACAAAAGAAAGTAACATAGCAAGGAAGATATTCTACTGAAGAACATTTTAAATCACAGCAAAGTAGACCATCTTCTTTCCAAAATCATCTACAAGGCACTAAGGGTAGAAAATGACAGGTAACATGAAAGACCAAACGCTGTTCCTCAGTCAGGTCGAAATATGGGATATTTTGGTAAGAATTCTATCAATATTACCTGTTGAAAAAGGGAAAAAGATAAGAACAGAACACAGTAAGTGCTCAAACCTTTAGCACAATTTCCATGCAAAATTATCTAGTAGGTAAGACTAAACATATCTGAGATATTCTTTAGGAAAGCCAAGTTCCCTTGAATAACAAAAGATATTTCAGTCATTTAGAAATACACATGCTTGACTTTTTGGGAGTGACTACTACTTTTCAAGTCTAGGAATCCTTTATGGCTATACATGAAAATGCATGGGATAGCAGAAGGACAACAGAAATACTTCAAATTCTGCTTTCCTAAATGAATATTCTGTCTCAAATACTGATCTATCAGTAGTTAGCAAGTGTTAAGAGCCTTCAGACTGGTGTGGGAACTACAGCAAAGCATGAAGTTGCAGTGGCTCACCCCCATTTCAAATTACAGATCAAGATAAGTTTACTTGTAATGCAAATGTAGAACTGCTATGAAGAGAAAAATACATTAGCAATCACCTTTTCTGAGTTGCAATAGCTGCCACGGCTCCTCTCATCATGAGCTGCCTTAGCAGGTATATGCCAAGCAACACTGCGCATTTTTCTGAGAGATTTTTCAGGCAGGTAAGAACCAAGGAAGTTAAGGACTTGCTCTATAAAATCACAGTAATGCTGAATACCACACAAGCTACAGAAATAATACTTACATATTCCATCATATTGCTAGTTTCGCATTTCCTTTTACTCAGCTTCCAGTGCAAACCAAGCTAAGAAAATATAATTATCAGGGGATTAATGTGATACAGTATTATTTTAAGTGAACTATATAACATAAGCATATTCCAAATTGTTAGCATCTGGACACTAAGGTTTAAGATCAGGACTGGATAAAAAGTATGAAATTATAACAGGACAGTAAAATTCCTAAGCCAATTATGCAAAGAACTTACTATTCTTAAAACTGAAGAAAATAAGCACTCTAACTTTTCTTACCTTATGATATAGTCTGTTATTTTCCCATTCTAACAACTTCTGAATTGATCTTCTAGTCTAAAAAGTAAGTCAAAACTGTATTATAAATGGTTCCGTAGCCAGCCTCATCCAGAAGAGCTTTATTATTATGTTTCTGGCTTAAGATTTATCTAAAATAAATCAGTTTTATAAAAGCAGAAACAAGCAATAAAAACTGAAAATGCAAGTCCTACCACGTCAACTACCAATTTCTCAACATCTGATCTTCTTAAGAAAAAGAAAACTTTTTTTGTTTGTTAATTTAGCAATAGAACTTCCCAAATGCTCTTTCAATTATTATAGGACCTTCTGGATTTAGTATTTTGAATAGTGTCCATCAATCAATTTGTTCAAACTAATAACGGAAAGTGAGCAAAACCATCTTTACTTTGAAATATACAAAGAACCTGACTCAAAGATTTAGTGGTAGAGAAATCACCACTTCCTTGTAAATGGATTTTTTTCTCAGTGACAACAGCTATCCTCAGAGTTAAAATGTACATGTTTTGTGTTCCAGACAACTTTCATATTCCAGCCTTTGGATCTTGTAATGTCAGTTTTTGCTAGATGAGAAAATCAAGAACCTTCTTATACAAGCTACTCTTACAGTGATTAAATTATTTTTCAATGCAGCATTCAATGAGCTGAATAGAAACATTCTCAATTTTTCCAAGCCATTTTGCTGTTTTTCTGTGGATCTTCCGAATTCTTAAAATATTTTTAATGACAGGTCGATTCCAATATTGGTCTTAGCAATGCACCACATAATGTCTGTGCATACTACAGTGCTGCCCAATGACAGCAAAGTTAGTTTGGATGTGAGAATAACAAAACAAGCCTTTTTGATGGTTTTCTATATGTGCATGTGTGCACATCCATACACATATACAAGTACATCCAAAATAGTACCGTCAGCCTCCCAAATCCTGCTCAATACCTATCTTTTTATACTCTTGAGAATTATAATTCTGCTACAACCTTGCATGCTATTACTGTTTGCAGTTTCGGATAAGTAAAATGTTATGGCTCAAGTAGCACAAACTGTTTAACTGCAAAGAATATTTTTACACTGTTTCTAATTCACAGTTTTCCACCATGCTTATCACTGTGATAAACCAATTCTAAATGTAAGCAATAAAGGTAATTAAGATCGTGTTTACTTGATCTTGTTAAAATGTCTTACAAGATTATTATTTTGGGCCCAATAAACATCTTCAACAGAGTTGACAAAATAAAGAGAAATTCTAACACTCAGAATTAAAAATTTGAAACTCTGATATTAATAGAAAAAGAACAATGAAATGTGTCAAATAAATCACAGTTCAGAACTATTATAGCACATACAAAGTTATTACTTTCAGAAAAAAAGTATTTCTGAGAAAAACACACGGGTAATTTTCAATTCAGTTAGGGGAACTTTTGAACATCTGTTCCACGCTCATTTATTACAATTGCTACAGCTTCATAGATCCTGAATGCTCAGGGTATCATATTCTTCATCATGTTCCTCAAGCTGAGATCGGATTAGCTATACCTAGATCACCGGTCAATTGGCAATTGTGCATCGTTTACTTCATTAACAAACCTATTTTTCTACGGTAAAATCTAGAGAAACAGAATAAGTTGAATGCAAATGAGACAGAGGAAACTGTTTTCAAATGGGGAAGATGTTATTAAACTTTAATGTTACCAGTAACCGCAAAAGAATGAAAAAGACCAATTATATATAATAGAATTAAATATGTACTCACTCTTTTGTTAAGACAAACTACAGGCCACAGGCTACAGCCCAGTGTGCAGCAGCAGCACAGACAGCCACAGAGTAGCCATTTTACATTAATAGGAAGGTTCTTTCTTAAACATGAGTTCACACGACTGATGCTGGTCTTGAATTCTTCTGGGGCAACCTGCAACAGAAGTCCTTAACTTCAATCGAAAACCTTTACAGAGGATTTTCTTGATAATTGGCTTTTGCTGATTTACAGTAAGTGAAACATAATATCATTATACAATATGGTCCAATCTTCCAAAACACTGGTCAGGCAGTTATCATGAAAAGGTGCTTTCCTGTAGTTAATTCAATTATTGTGCATGTTTTNAAAAAAAAAAAAAAAAAAAAAAAAAAAAAAAAAAAAAAAAAAAATTAAAAAGCTAAATATAGTAACTTAAATGAAGAGTTTTATCCATATTTATTGCATCATTAATAAATCAATCCTCCTGCTAATGTAACAGCTCCAAACAAAACTGGAAGTAGGACACAGCCATGCAACTTATGCACTGGCAATGCTGACAAGAAAAAAAGAACAAAAACAAAGAAGAATGAAAGATATCTGATCTACAGGGGAAGGCAGGCAGCTTTGTAGTAAAAAGGCTGTGTTGTGTCATATCGGAAAAAGGAAAACACGGTCCAAATCTAGCTGCACAGCAGTGCAGCCTATAGTGAACCTGGGGTAAGGGTGGACCTCTGCTCACGAGTAATTCATGGCAATGGTCCCCAACAACATATTGCCTAACTTCAGCATGTCTCCCTCCTGAAACCAAGAACGGCAAACACTGATTACCTTTCAGAATTAAGTGCATCTTGTTCAGGACTATGAACAAAACCTATCGGCACAGCATCCTGTGGATTAGGTGTGCAGGACTGACTGATTCCATTTAGTGAGTTCTAGTCCAGTTGATTTGCTTTTACAGCACGGTGACATCAAATGCCAAAAGAGTCAACATTGCCTAGGCTAACACTATGCTAACACTACCTGACTGGGAAGGATGGATGCCTTACTCTACAAGCATTTAATCTGAAATACTTAAATGGATCTCAGTTTTAGAAGGGGCTATACAGGGTGTCCTAAAATCCATGCATTTGAAGAAGGGCCGGGTGCAGATACTGGTTTGCGTCAGCTGAACAAACAGACAAACAGCCGGGATAGTTTAAGATGAGAGTGCCCTGATTTGCTTGCTACCACCTTTCTAGAAGAGGCAGCAAGAAGCACAAGCTCAGGTGTTTCAGGTTATCATCCCGTAATTTAGTGCAAAGGCCTCTTTATAACCAGCTGGAGTTCTGACACTCGACTCTGATGGCAGTGGATAAGGTGTAAGCACAGAGCTCTCTTGCACCCATCCCACCAGCTGCACAATAACCTCCAAAGGGCAGAGGCACCCTAAAAACATACACTGTCATTTTGCAGAATTCCTGTGCAAACATACAGGTTATCTTAACAAAATTACTAATCATTCTGGGAAGCTTTTTCTTTGAGTAAATTAGACAATATCTGACATCATGGTTTTGTCATTTTATCTAGTAAGTTCTCAATTTTAAAAATATGCCTTGATAAACAACTTCTTTACGTGAAGAAATATTCAGAAAAGCTTGCTCAAAATAACATTTTCTATATATAGCCACTGCAGATTCACAGTGGGAAACTGCTTTTTCTGTCAGATATAAGCTTCTCCAATGGCAGCATGTTTCTTATAAAAGAATGAGAGCATTTAACCATCCATATGCCCCAAATCCCTCACGCTCTACAGAAGAGCTACCAGACTCAGTACCGAGAAGCAGTCTAAGCACATCCTGTGTTCACACTCCACAGAGAACATCAGCTCTGCACAAACGATCCAAGTAACTTGCACGTGACAAATCACATATGGACTCATGGCATCATAGCTTGCACCCAAGGCAATACTCTGAACTTTATGCTGCTTTGTGAATTGAAACTCTGGATTGCGTCACTTGTACCCAACTTCTAGAAACAATAGGTGAAACAATTTAAAAAAAAAAAAAAGTTTCTTTCCTAACTGTTTGTCACATTAGGACAAGGAATTAGAAAAGTCAAAATCCGCATTCTAAACCATGCAACTATTACACAGTTCCTGCAACCCAGCTCAACTCATTTGACTATGCAAACAAGTAAGAGAAAAAGCCAATAATGACAAGGACACCTTTCACCAAAAGAGCAAGAGCAGGGGACAGGAAGTCAACAGTACCCGATCCGAATATCTTCACCTAGTCACAAGGGCTAAATTCTTTAAAACACGTCAGAAAAGGGATTAAATAACTGCATCTGCTTCCTGGCTATTCAGATCATCGTACAACACAAAGTCAGAGGTCATTCGAGTTTGTATACAAGCTAGGTCTACAGTTAGTAACATAAGAACATCAATTAACATAATGATTACTTAATAGCAGGATTAAGTACATAGCAAGGATTTCAAAATTTTTGGGGGGGAGGAAGAGATGGGGAGGGAGGGAAGAAGATAATTAAAAATATAATGCAACACATATCATGGAGCTTTTTTTTTCTAATACTTAAAACACTTCTTTAAAACTCCTTTTGCATATACAAAGTAGAGCAAATTCAAAAGCTCACTTTGGACTGATTGGAACATCGCTATTTAAATGTATTTTATATCAGAAGTTTTATTTGGGTTAGTAAAAGAATATATATATATATATAAAAGAATATATATATATGTGTGTGTAAACTTTAAAAGTTCAACTCAAATTGAGAAAATAGCAAAATCCCATGTATTGGGCCATTTAGAATAATTAGAAAATAATTCTGCTGTAATCTATGGAAAACAAGCCTGTACTTGCATGCGTCTGAAACAAAGGTTTACAGGTCTCTTTGCAAAAGCCCTCTCTTCTATGTAGCATACTACAAATCTCACACATATGTGAATAAGATCACTTTGTCTCTGCTGCGAGGACAAATTTTGTAGTAAAGTTTGGGTTGGTGGTGGTCTGCAGTATGAGGAACACCGAGCAGTTCCCGAGGGCAGATCTGCTTCCAAGCAAATTGGGATTGTGTGTGTTGACAAATGAGCATTCTTGGCTTTTAAGGAAGTTTACGCATGGCTCTGTTTTTAACATTTAGATATATACAAATGGCACCTTCTTTGATAAGGCCCTTGAAATTTGTACATAGATCATCCTGTTTGTTTTAAAGACAAAAATAAGGCCTTTTTAAATACCATTAGTACTTGTGCAATAAATTCCACTAGGAAAAGAGAACATTCCCTTTTTTATTAGCCACATAGTGTGCTGGACCTTGACAACACCCCCCACCACCCCAATACAGCTGTGCAAACCTACCCAAAAGAATGGAGCTGCACAGCACACGGCCTAACGTGCAGAAACTTCGTTATCAGTGTCAACATCCAACATGAAAAGAATTCAGCTGGAGTCTTAGATCTCAGAGGGCAGAAAGTGGCATGATAAAATTTCCCGTTTCTGTCTTTTAGAAGAATGATTCTTCACTTTAGGACAACAGTTTGATGCTACTCTATAAGAACATCATTAAAGTACTCTCATTCACACATAGAGTGGTATGGGAAATGCATTTTGGGTGTCACCAAACAGCAAAGACATTTGCACTTCAGGTATTTTGGTGCAATGGTTACAATAATAGTACTATGAAAGTGCCACTTCTGTGCCACTTCACAAATGCTTTAAAGCAGCAGCAACTCTGAGCTTCAAGATGAAACAACTTAAGAGTACAAAATCTTGATTTAATTGACTTAGCTTTGACCAAAATTATGCATATATTTTCTCCTCTTTTTGAAACCTAAACACAGTCAATATTTCTGTGACATCTTAATCTAAAACTTAAGGTGCCAGTGACCAAGATATGGAACATTTTGGAGATAAAGAAGAGAAAAGCAGGATTTTGTTCCTCTCAGTTTATAGCTTCATAGCAGTTAAGCAACTATTGTTAGTGAGTGACAAAGGACAGAATATCTTTAAATAAAATACTGCACTAATACGCTACTCAAAATTGTTGCCCATGAGGTTTATTGATTTCTGGCCTTGCCACTGCTGCAGCAAGAGATATTGAAGCAATAATATAAAATGACCAAAATATTTCAAATAAACAATGGGCATTTAACAGCATTTCCTGTGCATAGAAAGGGCACTAAGAAAGTCTGAGTTCAAATAATTTCAGAAAGACACTTGGAGAGAATCTGTTTGGGTCTTGAAAAAAAAGAGATAAGTATATAGCTTCTGGCTGTGCAGTACACCTTGTAAAGAGACATTAGCTCCTTTCAGGTCTTTAAGTAAAAAAAAAAAATAAAGCCTCCAAAACATAAAAGGAGAGGAGGGAGTGTCACAGTTTTTTACAACAGGATGCAAGAGAATCTGCAAACACAGGAAGAGAGGGAGTAAAGCCCAGCAGGCCTGATCTTCCTCCTCCAATCATCATGATCACAAACCCTATCAATCACATGTGCCAATGGGATCACAATACCAAGAATACATTTATGGCTTTCACTTCCCTGCACCGCACACTAATCTCTGTATGGGACCCTTAATGTTTTAAGGTCTGGGCCGGAAACTCCGCTTTCTTCCTTAAGGTTCACTGGCTCCATCATTTTCTTGTTACCTGAAGCAGTTTGTACTTTGTGCCAAACACCATAAGGAGTATATTTTTTAAGCATGGCTAAAATTCAGGATAGTGAATAAACTTCTTAAAGTTTTAGAACTAGAAGATAGGCTTCACTTCAGCAGAGGTATGAATAAAGTCGTTTTAAAAGTCTATTTTAAATGCTTATTTCAAAATAATAACCCTGAAAAAATGTAGTATTTAGAATTTAAATTTACCCAGAATTTAAATCTGTCCCAGTCCAATCACATTATTCCAGGGTAAATACTACCTCAGCGTTAAGTGCAAGTAAAATCTTTTCTTATAAGATGTATTTTTAAATAATGAATTATTTCAAAGCCCACCTCTGTCTTTTTAAGTCAGTTGAAGCTTGTTTCTCATCTGGCAAAATAAATATCAAGGTAATCTAAATGAATTAATTGGACCCAATATCTGGCCTACCTGTTATTTTCCTTTCCTTTATGGTTTTATTGTCTATATAATTTCCTCAAATATATGCATCCAGCTCTCTCCCTCAAAAGGAACAAGTATCTCACTTAAATATTTAAGATGTCCTTACACACGCCATAGCTGCAAACAACCTATCTAAAATAATGACCCAGAATCTGTAAAAATAGGGAGATGATAGGATATGTGAGATGAATGGGGAAAGAAAAATATTTCATAAGACAGTTTACTGCAAGGTATATTGTAGTCCCTGTGTAGATGGGTAAACTGAGGGTCAGGTAGCTTAAGTTTCCTTAGGCCATACAGTGCTATAAATCAAAAGAATATTTCTGGAAGAAAAGTGCAGCTAGTTTTATTTATTTTCATCCAGACCGATAATTAAAAAGAAAACAGTGCCACAGAATTATTTATCAATCACACCTAATGGCTTCACCTTTTCCACTCCATTAGCAGATGGGATATATTAGCAATATTAATGCACACTGATAATTTAATGTATTTTACAGGTACATTCTGAAAAAAAGTATGAAATTGCTTAATTCTAGTAATGTATTAATGCAAGTTTACTGTAATCATTTTAATCTAAAAATAGTACTCAATGTAAACAGTCACTGTGCTGTGCATACACTGTGATTTGTAAGAGAAAAGCAGAAATTCTGGAAGTGCTGCACCAGCTGACTATAACTTTGCATTGTGAATTATTTATAGGGTATTTGATAAATACTTTCTTACTGGAACAAACTGACCGAGTTTTCATTTTCAGTAGGGATAAATGCAATTGACTGCAATAACCAGTAGAAGCAGCAAATTATTCATTGCTTGCAGTTCAAGCAAGCATTAAAAAACCCCAATTGCCCACAAGCCTGGCTTTAATGTCCTTGATCACACCGTGCGAATGGCAGCAAGTGGAGAGACTATACACAGCTATAGACTATATATCAACTATACACAGAAAATTCATGTTTTCCGTGATTGATGCTGCCACAGATTAGGTGCATCGGACAAGAAAGGGAAATGCCAGGCAGAAGCATTGCTAAATTAAGTCTAAGCAGTCAATTGAACTTAATTTAAACTTTTCCTACACATTGTCAAAACCAATTCCTTTCTGTCCATTTAACAGCAGGGCATTCAAGGTGGAATATGACAGGTATTGAGGTTTGTATTAAAAGAGCTGGTTTTTGTTTGTTTTTTCCCTCTCTGACACCAGCTTTTTAGAGATGGAGAGAAATTGAATTATTTAAATGAATTAAGTTTTAACATTTCCTGCTAGACTATTTTTTAAGCATTATTTATAGGAAACTATGTCTTGATTAAAAAACTGGCAAAAGATTACCATAAAGTCATTCATGGCTTTTCAGTAATCAGAAAGAGTTTCTTAGAAAAGAATAAAGCTTTGACATGCAGTAGTTAAAGACAATTAAATATATATGGGGTCACCAGCAGGCTTCACATCAGACACTACAGTGTCAGTAGTATTCTTCCATTTGACTTCACTGAGATGCTGAATCAATGTCAGAACTCATAGACTGTTTCTAACACCCAGAAATCCCCTAAACTTTACAGATGGACTGGTGTGAAGCAACGCTGGACAAACACAACTGGAGAATTTTATCATTATACTCCGCGATGAAAACAAAATAAATACATAAATAAACAAAACACACAGAGATTTGCCAGAACAAGTAGATGCCATCCAGCTGCATTTCAGTATATCGTTAATATGACTCGACAGGTACAGCAAGAGTCTGCAGAGACTTGTGAAGCTCTATGGTATGTCATTACAGACAGTAGTAAGAGCCAAGTACCTTCTTCCTCACAAATGCAGGAAGAGATACACAGGGGAGATATAAAATGAAACAAAAGAAAAACACTAGGGTGAAACAGCGTAAAGAAAGCATACATAAAAAAAAACTAAAAAAATACAATTATGAAAAAGCATTTAAGACAATAATTGTGTTATAAAATTTCATGAATAAATTGCTATGAATATTTATGGACTAAGTCTGCATTGAACAAAGAAAATGAGATTTAAGAAAAAAAGACCATTGCAATTTTTCAGAAAATTAAAAAATTGTATTGGTGAATATATACTAAAAAATACATAATTTATAGGTTTGACATGTAGCACCATAACATTTTGTTCCTTAGAGCTATGGAAAACATTTTTTCTTCCAAAGAAGGGTCTAAAAATAAACTTAAAGCTTGACAGGTATTAAGCAAAGAGAGATCTAGCATCTAAAGTAATTGAATCCATACTGCAAGCAGCACAAACTGCAGGTATTTATAAACAGGGGTAAATGAGCCTTGACTTCATGTATATTGCTAGAAGAAAATAGTATTGTGCCACTTCAAGTTTTTCTGTGTTTAGAAATCAATCAGAAAAAAAAAAAAAAAAAATCACTGCAACTTATTTTTCAGGTACTAAAAAAAAAAAAATAAAAAAAAGGGGGGGGGGGCCTGTACCAGGCTGCTCATTTAAGAGTTACTTAATTTTCAGTGCAGTACCCATCTGCAATGGATTTTTGTTTCATTTCACCAAGGTATACACCTTGTAGCACTGAAAATACTGGATGCAATGTATCTTTTGAACTAGAGGAACAGTTTAATCTCACACTTACCTTCCCTGTCAGAATAGAAGGAAATTCTGTGTCAAACTTGTTGCTCAAGCCAAACCTTGAAAACAAAAAGAAACAAACAAGATATATTCCACCTAACTTATTTAATAAAAATAATAGCTTTTATATTTTAAAAAGGAAAACCTCTTTTTGTCTTTATATTATAGAAACTCCTATCTTTACTATTATGTTATTTCACCTGCATACCATTTATGTCTATGTAAGATCTTATGTGTCATTCATAAGGTAGTTCACAAACATCCCACAAAATACAGCTTGTTGCCTTACTTCAGTACCTTCAAGTGGCTGAAATTATAAAAAACTCTCTACAATGGGAATAAGACAAATTTCAGTCTTTCCTTCCTTGCACCTTTTAAATCTCCAGTTACGCTAGTTCCACTAATCCTTTTACAGCCCTATTTTTTTTTCCTCCCTTACTCATGCAATTTATTATATGCAACAGTTAAAGTTAGTTTTAGGAAACTTATTTATCTCTTTTTTTTTTTTTTTTTTTTTTTTTTTTTGCTCACATTCATAACTATCTCTTAAAAGAAAGAAATAAGAAAAAAAGGCTCTGGTTTGAGGTAAACTCTCTCTTGCAAAACATGTAGAAGTCTAAACACAACTCCTAGAACAGCTATGAGCTTCAAGAAAATCAAATCTCAGGTATCACCCTGACTGGTGGTTCTTCAGCAAAGCCCTCTCATGATGGACGAGAGCGCCTTTATAAAAGGCGCTGACAACCACAAGGAGCTCGGTATTTTGCAGAGCTGAGACGCTTTGCAGGGAAGCTTGTTACCACTTGCTCCAAACATATCGAACTGATTCAAAGTTTCGATAAGCTGTTTCTGTAGATCAGCAGGTCATTGACAGCACAGGCTAACTTGGCTTTTTCCCTTCCTTATGTTCAAACACACGTATGAAAGCAAGAGGTTAACTCAACTGCAATACCAATCCTGCTGCCTTGTGCAGAACCACATAACTATATGAGCTCCCATCCTCTCCACATCTTTGGTCTTTCCAGGTCAGCAGCATAACGAAGTATAACTACAGCAAGGCACTGGCATTTGAGCTACAGGCTTTTATGCTGGAACAAAGCTCTTTACTGTATGCCAAATTAAAGGCTTCACTGTCAACTCTGCTCAACTGGCTGAATATTTTTGTTCTAAAAAGGAGGGGAAAAAAAAGAAAATATCACAGACAAAAATAAAAGCATGAGCATCTTTCATATTGTTTATTATTCATACTTACTGTAAAAACTAATCTTTCAGGAAGATATTTTTTGTTCAAGTCCTTAACGGACATTTGCACAAATGCTAATATTGCTAAAATATTACCAGTCCCCTGCCATTACATCTCATGTATGTACCCTCCTGCACACACAGTAGTAATTCAGATACTCAGACTTGGCAAGTAGCTTGTTGAGAAGTACAGACAAGGGTGTAATTATCCTCAAAGACGAAAGCAGCACAACAAAAGAACTTGTGCTGTCTTTAGAAACCTACTAAGCTAATTAAAATGTTTGTCAACAGTACTAGTGAAGAAGTCTAATTAACTACTTCAATAGCTAATTTAAGTCAAAGCATATTGGAATGCTAATTGTTTAGAATGTTAAAATAATTAAATAACAATCCAAGATGGCAGATACTCATTTAAACATTTCTGAGCCTTTGTCTCTTAAGGTTTAAGTACTATATCTAACCATCATTTATTTGTGTTTATTTCATCCAAGATCTTTTCATTGAAAATTTTCTAGAAGTGAATGCAAGTGAAGTATGGCTCAGGTTACAATACATTACAGTGAACTTGAAAGTCACAATACTAACTTAGTGCTGCACATATAAACAGTAAAAACAGTGCAAAGTTAGGCCAACACATAGTTTACTAGAATAAGCACATCTTCTTTCAACACAATACTGCAGTTGGTCCCATTTCCGTAGGTACTAAGAAAAGATTTCCAAATTTTGTTATACAAAATATTTATCATTAACAGAGCTTGATAAAAAAAGACATAGCCTTTTCAGCCTTCAAAAATTACAGAAAAGCTTAATAATATGAAGCACATGCACAAGTTTGTTCTTGAAGTGGCTTTTCTGTCTATTAGCAATGAAACTATCTGAAATGGTAACAAAGTTTTAGCAGTCAGACAACATAAGTAGTGAACTATGAGGAAATCCATGAAATAGTGCAGAATTTATTTTATGCACATATGTAAGACTAACTGCACTTAACTTAGCCAAAGGTTGTCCTAGCTCGGAATGCTGAATCTTGTGGTGACCAGCAGCAGATGCCTCCAAAACAGCAAAATAAATGTGCAGGTGTGTGCTAGCATTTCCCAGCATAGTCTAACAATAACTTTTGGCAATTTCTGGTTCAAGAATTGCTTGAGCCAGAAGTGGTGCCTTTTATCTCAATTGAAATTCCCATTGCACTACCAGTCTCCCCAAAGAATAATGCAGATTAATGCTTACTGATTTAGAGCTATTGAGAACATAACAAAAGCACAATATATTTTACTGGGTTAAACTTGAAGGTTGATAAAGTCCTGAAATATATCTAAAGACTTAACTTTCAACAGTGGCCAAAACATTCTGTTCTGTTACAGCACACATGCAAAAAAAATTCAATTACAGAAGAATGGATAAAAGAACATAAACGGCTTTGAGTACACTTAACACAAGAATTATGCTGACTAAACATGTAATACTACATTGTACCATCACTAGTGGCCTTTAGCACAGTCTCACTACTGTGTCTCTAAGTTTTACAGACTATGCTCTTTATTTACTGCATAGTTCAGACAAAACTAAATTCCCATTAGCTAAGGGGTGAGAGAGAAGCTGGGAGAGGACAGAAAGGAAAGATTCGTGAGCACTTTTTTTTTTTTTTTTTTTTTAAGAATATTAATTAAAGCAGAAGATGATATAGTTCTAGAGCGATGTAAGCAACTTTGGAAAAAAAACAAAAACAACATGAAAAAAAACACTTTACACAAAATAAAAAAGAACTCCAAAAAATGAAATCTGGATTATAAGAGAAATAACTTCCTAATACCATCTACAAAAGAGTCTAATCCATAGCAATAAAGCAATAATTGATCTGGCATGCTTTGCCCTATTAAGTCTTCTAACACCTAGTAAATTAGAAAAAAAAGAAAATCACCACATAAAATAAACTCAGGAATCTGTCCTTTAAATTATTTAAAACATAGTTGGCAACCACTTATTTTGAAATTATTTCTCTGGGTCCTCAGTGGTCTAACATTTAGAAACCCGAGATAAGTCATCCCTATACTTCAGTTGACATTTTTAATCTGGAAGAGAAATGCCTCTAAAAGCAAGGTACTGTTTCCTACGGGCACAAACACAACTATTACAAACTATTATTATTGTTTTCTCTCCATTTTTAAGTTCCATCTTTTCACTTTGTAAAGTGGAGAGAATACAATTTATCACAGGCATTTGTAATAAGAGACATCTAAGCCCCTCAAAATTGAAGCTCAAAAGGCATATCCTGAATCATGAGTTGCAAATTCATGCCGCCACAGGTAACACATTATGTAATTCCTTCCATCATCTTACAAACCATTATAGAAAAGATGTCTTGTTCCCAGAATTGAAACAGGCAGAGTTTGGTAAACATTTTCTAGTATTCAGAATTATCTAGTATTTAGAAATATATTTAGAGGTGCTTTACCTTTTCTTCTTCTGACGAAGAATTTTTCATTCTTTCTTTATTCTACTGTTGTATTTTCAGATAGTCATTAGTTTTATTAGACTATATGGGCTAAACTCGTTTAGTCAACTCTCATATGATAAACTTTCTATCCTCTTTTCACCTTGGTTACTCTCCACATTCCTAATTTAGTTTAAATGTAACCGATCTTGAAGAGCTGAATTCAAATTCTACCCTCTATTCCCATAGCAGACATCAAAGCTTTGTGAGATGGCAAAGAACAAAGATGATTTTCACAAGCTGAAATCTCCCTGAACACCTAGGATTTCTCTTTCTAGTCTACGACTTTTTCCATTCATGCCAACAAACATGGAATGGCACAGGGCAACCCTACTTGCAGATGATGGTTTAGAAAGTTAATTTTTTGAGAGCTAAGGTCACTTGATGTTTTAAACACTTGCAAGATGCATAACTCTGGGATTATCAGAAGACAAAATCTAAATGTCTTCCTATCACAACTGAGGGTACTTGGATCCTGCCTTTCCTAATTCCTGACAACATGCTGTTCATTACTGCCTGGATTACAAATCTCTAGACCACTCCAAAAGAAAACATAGAAAGGGGGAAAAATAATTAAAAAAACCCTTCTACTCAGAACGAGCAAGTTTATAGATTAAAGGAGAAATCACAAACTGAAAGATCTCCATTCCATTCACATGGATTTGATATACCTGGATACGTCACTGGAAAACACAAAGCAACGGGCAATTTACAGTTCAAAAACATCAAAAAAAAGCATTTAGCAGGTCCCAAAGGCTTCTCTGTATTAAAACAGAAAAGCTTGGTGAAAGCAACAAATTTGATTGCTAAGTATTTTCTTTTCAAAGTAAGAATCTTCTAGAATGAAAAAGCACTGAGCAACATAAGCATGAATTCTGTCATTCGGTTTCAGAATTTTTCAAAAAAACCCAGCCTACCTTACACCATTAGTCTTGTCATGCAGAGGGTTACAGAGTTAGCAAAAGAGTCAGTGAAAGCAGCAAAATCCTGCTAAAAGTCCTTAGAAAATCCCTGGAATCTATATTTGGTACAGTTGGATACTGCAGTGTAACTCTATTAGCTTCAGTTCAAAGGATATACAAGTCATACAAGGAAAAGCTTTCATGCAAGCAACTAATGCACTGTTTGAATATTCTAGCTTTGGAGTATTTATGAGACTACTGTACATGAAAAGCTTGACCAGAAGATGACACTGAAACTGCTACCAGAACTTATTACCCCTTCTCTATACATCAAAGCATCCAAGCAGGCCAGTGTCAGAGGAAGAACTGAAGGCATCTGAAACAAAACCCAAGGAAACAATAGATTTTCTTTCTTTTTTTTCTTTTTTTTTTTTTTTCCCTTTTCTTCTCTTTTTAAAATGTCTTTTCTTCCCTTCCCTTATCTATTTATTAAGAACTAGAGTGTGGCTCACTTTTGCCAGGAGAGAAGTTTTATTAGTAACATTTCATGGGTTCAAAAAACAAACACAAGTTATACTGGGTGATATGTCTCACGTCAGGAACTAGAGCAGGTTGCTTCTGAAGCCAACTGATTTCAAAAGAAGAAGTACTCATGTGATCAGACAGTGACAGAGTTTCAGAACTGATATACAGCAACCAGAAGGTCTTTAAGCAGCAAAGCATGCCTCATTTAATTAGGAGGTTAGGCTTACAGCCTGTAAATGTCTATTGTCTATTTGCACTTTATTGGCAGCATCCGGTAACTGTTATTATTAGTTTAAGGAGATTTTAAAGATGTCATGATCTGATAAAAGAAATGCTGTCTTCTAGCATCTTTCCAGGAAGGCATATTTGTCACAGAAAGAAAAAGGAAAATAAGTGGGAATTCAGCTCAGATAGTCACATAGGCTCACATCACTTACAAGTATTGCTTTCTTTTCAGGTAGACAGCATTAGTTTGCTAAGCCCTTGAAGATGTTCCTGCCTATCCCCAAAAGATGTTGGAGACAAGAAGAAGCCTTAAGGAAGATCGCTAATACACAGAAAGCATCACATCAGATAAAGCAAACGGGTAGCTACAGCTTTTCAGTTTAGTGCTTGAAAACAGGTAACTAGTAAGAGGTGTACAGGGTATTCTGCTCACTGTGCTCGTGTTACATCCCTCCTCAGGTTAAATCGCATGCTACTGGGAGGCAGGATAGGAAGAAATTCCACCAAACAAGCAATCACACTGCGGCGCAGCAGAAAACTACCCACTGGCACTAGCTCAATGTAAACCTGATTTGGACTTACATGATGGGCTCAGTATCAAATCCAACATTAGATGTGAGAGCCTTCCCCACCCAGTGCCTTTGCTGCGGATAGCTAGATCACACTGCACCTATTCACAGAGAGAAACGTGTGTTCTTTTAAGGAGTCTGAAGATGGACCCAAAGCAACAACAGCTTGATGGATCTCTACAGCACAGAAGAGCCCATGGTTCCCTACCATGCAAGCAAAGCCAAAAACTTGCCGAGAGTGTAGTTTGTTGTGCTGCTCCACTTGCAGGAGTAGGAATATTAAAAAGCCAATGGGTGACACTGTCCTCACATCCCCGCTGCACAAACGAGCGGCAAACACCGCGGCTCCAGACGTGCTCTGAGGACAAAAGCAGCTAACCTAGCCCTAACTCACCGGCAAAGTTTGGGGGAAATGAACGGCAACACGGCCGGGCGTGTGTGCGGCGCGGGGCCTGGGGCTCAGCTGAGGCAGGGACGGGTAAATCAAACTGTTCGGTAAGTCGGTGGGACAGCAACGTGCCCGCAGCCCGCGCGACACGCGCCGGCGCGGCCGTAACGTCCCCCGGGAGCGGGCGGCGGGAGCGCCCGGGGACGGCGCGGCCCGCCCAGCTCCGCCCGTTACCCGGGGCTGCCCCGCGCTGCCGGG